TAAGCTCCGTCTCCGGGTTCAGGACACTTCCTCGAAGGTCCTCGTCACCGGCGACCTCAATGCCGGCAAGTCTACCCTCGTCAACGCCCTTCTTCGCCGCGAGATCATGCCCGTCGACCAGCAGCCGTGCACCACCGCCTTCTGCGAGGTTCACGATGCTACTGAAAACAATGGCGTCGAAGCCGTGCACATTCTCAAGGATGCTGCGGCTTACAACCCGTTGGACGAGTCTACCTACACCGCAGCTGCCATCGAGGACCTGGAGGAGATTGTCGCCGAGTACGAGGCCAAGGGCTCTGAGCATCTGCTCAAGGTCTATCTGGCTGGCAAGGACCAGACTTCTCTGTTGTCCAACGGCACCGTCAACATCTCCCTCATCGATGCCCCTGGTCTTAACCGCGACTCTCTAAGACCACCGCTCTCTTCGCACGCCAGGAGGAGATCGACGTGGTCGTCTTTGTCGTCTCTGCCGAGAACCACTTCACTCTCTCGGCAAAGGAGTTCTTATGGACCGCCAGCAATGAAAAAGCGTATCTCTTCATCGTCGTCAACAAGTACGACCAGATCCGCAACAAGGACAAGTGTCGCCGCGTTGTTCTCGAGCAAATCAAGGGTCTTAGCCCTCGCACATACGAGGACGCCAGCGACTTGGTACACTTTGTCGACTCGGCTTCGGCTTCCAACGACGATGCCGAGAACAATGGCTTTGAGGAAATGGAGGCCGCCCTTGCGCTCCTTCGTCCTCACCAAGCGCTCCAAGTCCAAGCTCAGCCCGTAGAAACTTTCCTCCTCAATCTGCTCAGCGACGTCGAGCTTCTCGCCTCTGCCAACAAACTGGTCGCCGAGGCAGAGCTTGCCCAGGCCCGCGCCGAGCTGGCCGAGGCCAAGCCCGTCCTCGAAAAAGATGCGGTCTGGCCGGGACAAGCTCGAGGAGGGTCTCGAGGGCAATCGAGGAAGACGGCGTTGGAGAGGCCAGTGCCAAAGCCAAGAAAGTTCTCGGGAGATGCTCTGGACCAAGTCGGCAGCGGCAAACCCTTCGGCAACCTCCAGCTCCCGTCCTATCCCGGATTGTTGGCCGTTTGGGACTACGCCCGGGACGTCCGCCGCACCCTCCTCGATTCGCTCGACCTGTCGGTGAAGTTGGCCGAGGATGAGGCGCGAGGGATCACGTCCTCTGGCGTTGCTCGCATCAAAGACCTCGGCGAGGAGCACCTCCCCGCCGGTGTCGAGCGCAGCCGCCGCATCTTCATGCCCGAGGCCATGTTCTCCGCTGTCCGCCGTGGCAAGGGTGTCGCAGGCGGCAAGGGCGCGCTGAAGACCCGCAACGGAGGGAACGCTATCGTCGTTGCCGGTGGTGCGCTTGGGCTCGGTATCGGACTCGCTTCCCGCCCTGATATGCAGGAAACGACTTTCCTCGACCTCTTCGACGTCAACCACCAGCTCTGGGTGCACTTGGGCGATGGCAAGGAGTCTTCCAAGTCCAGCTCGGAGGCTGACGCGATCCCCGGCGCGCTCACCGTCGTTGGTGCCGGTGTTGGGGCTCTGACCATGGTTGGCGGACAGGCTATTGGCGTTCGCGGGGTCGTTGAAGGTATCGTCCGGGTTAGTGATTTCTTTGGGAACGAGACCGCACGCAAGTGGGCACTGCCTGTCGTCGGAGCAGTCACTATCGGCGCTGTCGTCTACGTGGTGCTCGAGCTGCCGAGTTCGATCCCGCGCACGGTCGGCCGGCGGATCAAGGCGTCTGTCGAGGCATCGGAGGATGACGAGAAACAATGGGAGTCGCAGCATGTCGTGCGGATTGGTCGGGAAACGCGTAAAGTTCTGCGGCTCGCGTCGTGGGATTTGCGGGAACGTTTCCGCGGTGCGATGGAGGAGCGAGGCAAGGAGGTCAAGAATGCAGAGGAGGGCGAGAAGCGGGCGTTGAAGGCGCAAGAATGGTTTGGCAGTGTCGGAGACCGCGTCGGCGAGGTTCGCGGAAAGGCACGGCTAGGCGAAGAATCGGCCATTTGAGGGATCCACCATATAGATATAGGACAGCCTCAATCCCAATTGATTCGGTACATATATGCTTTCTGTTCATTTTCTTCCTAATGACCCCTCCCCACTTCTGATATTGTTTGGATCGCCATTGACGGAGTAGTCCTTCAATACCAACCTCACGTCTTCACGCTCTTTAGTCTGTCTTAAACCATGCCTCTAACTACTCGAATCCTCGTAGTTTACGATCTATTGCACCTAGTGTATACAATGATGTACAAAGCTGGATTGAAATGACACTCAGTTTACAGCTACGCGTTGGGGGGTTTCTTGTTGTGAACGCGAGTATGGCGTGTCAGCTGGTCCGCGCGAGCAAAGGACTTGTTGCAGACATCACAGCAATACGGTTTCAAGCCCGTATGAATTCGCATCTGTGCAAGAATGAGTAATGGAGGCATAAAAAAGAAAGCGCAACATACGTGTTTCGAAAGATTTGACGACTCGGAAAAGGCTCTATTTCAGAGGTCAGTCGAAAAACAAGCACGGAAAAGGATCACTTGCTTGTCGCAGGAAGGGCATTTGAAGGGCTTGGACCCCGAGTGGGTTCGCTTGTGGATGGTGAGTGCGCCAGCGATGGCGAATGATTTTCCGCATCCCGGAACGTCGCACGAGTAGGGTTCTAGGAGTCCAGTCATAAGAGCGCCGAAAATTAGGGTGAAAAGAAGGCTACTGACTCTCTTGAGTATGTCGACGCATGTGCTGCTGCAGAGTGGCGGCCTCGGAAAAGTTTTGGTTACAAACTTTACACGTAAACGGTCGGAAGCCAGTGTGGCTCTGAATGAAACGCTGATAAAAATTTTGGGGTAGGAGTAGGAAAAATACGAACCTGCAGATGTCTGCAGAGTTTCTGTTTGCTGGTAAACCCGTTCTCACCGTGGCGCTGACAGTCGCCCCAGTAGCAGTCGTAAGACGTCTTTCCCGAGCCGACGTGAACGTCGGTGAGATGTTTCGTGAGCTCGTCGAGTGAGGGGAAGCGCTGTCCACACAGCGACCATTCGCAGCCGTATCCGACAGGGTTAGTGTCTGGGAGCGGCGGGGAGATTTCGGTCGACGCCGGTGACAATTCCAGGGCATCTTCGATAGGCAATTTGGTATTAAGAGGACAGTGGCAAGACTCAAAGCCAGGAGTGGTCAATTCCGAAGGCACCGCCGGGGCTTGAGAAGCAAGCCATCCATGAGCCTGCGGGTAGCGGCAAGGCCCGGCATTTTCAAAATCAGGAGTGGTGGTTTCCGAAGGCACCGCCGGGGCATGAGAAGGAAGCCATCCGTGAGCTTGGGGGTTGCGGCAAGGAATGGTATTCTCAAATTCAGGAGTGGTGGTTTCCGAAGACACCGCCGGGGAATGAGAAGGAAGCCATCCATGCGCTTGCGGGTGGCGGCAAGGCCCGATATTCATGCCGAGGTGGTCGTGCAGAAGATGGGAGGAGAGACGACAGAGCATCGAATCGACATCTCCCGAGGATGGACCAGGGATCAAGTCGGGCGTTGGGTACACGGTGCAATCTTTCCATAGGCACGCCATCGCAAACGGGTCCGGGTGCGGAGGCACGGGCGCCGAGAGAGGGTGGCCGAGGTGGACGATGTTGACGTGCTCCGCCAGCTCTGCGAGAGTGGCAAATGGCGCTCCACAGTCACCCCACATGCATGAAAGAGACGGTGATTGAGAGTCTGCGAACGCACTGCTTGAGGACGGCGATGAGGGTGGGGGCGTCGGGACCGGCGTGATTTCGACGGGTGGCATTGGAACACTGGTGTCATCAAGCATTGGGATGCCACCCGAAGGAACGCAGTCGAGGGTACTCCCCCCGCCGCAAGAGCAGACGAAAGTCTTTAGAGATGGATCCCAGTTCCATGACTCTGGGTTGTTGCGGGGCTCCTCGTAGTACGAGTGGAAGTCGGTGCAGCATTGCAGCTGCGTCGGGAATTAGACGCGCCGTTACAAGTGAAAGATACGCACAAATTCATCAAAGCCGTTGCAATCCTGGCAGTTTGAGGCATCCTCGCAGACCAGATCGCAGTGGCTGTCGCGGCAAACGGCGTCCTCGTCCGAGCATGCGACTACAACGCACTGATCTGTGCATTCGGAGGTCAAAGAGGGTACAACATGGCAGTCGGCGCAAGACGGAGCGGCGGATGACTTTGTGCGGTGAGAGGCCGGAACGGTGAGGACCATATTGGTGTGGTCCATGATAGAGAGAGAGAAAGAGATAACTCGAAACTTTTGTGACCCAATTGTGACCACCAAGCCAATCACGCGTCACAACCTGGAGGGTCCTCGTCTTCGATCATCTTGAACCCTCGCGGTCGACATCATCATGTCCATTCTCAGACTCTCGTTTTATGTCAAGCTTCACTAGCTCAGCGTCCGAAGCGCGACTGCCTTGTGAGACTGTAAGACTTCAGAGAAAAATCAATAATACCTCAGGGAGAAAAGTATCCTTGTGCTCTTTGTGGTGATCAAAAACTTGATACTGTGCCCATATGAGGGCTCTTCCGAGTCAATAATAAAATCCCCAAACCTCTCCGGATCTGTAGTCGATGAGCATAGAATTTTTTGCCTGACATCAGACTTGCAGACTTACGAGCGGCTCATGTCAGCGATTCTCAATCCATCTATGTTACATATTAGTTTGTTCTACCCTCCGTCCGAAATCGACACGAAATTACTCGAGTGAGGGCAGATTGAGGCGAAGACTACCTGCCCAATATCATGCTCTTGCGAAACCCGACGGATACAACAAAGTTAGTACACTTCCGAATTAGGAAAGTGACGTTGGAGGTAACTTACAAAGGGACACATTGCGGGCCTTACTAAACAGCCTTGAACCCAGTTCTAGTTAGCGGTGTATGACTTTTCCGACGGTGCGGCTGGGGAAACACGGCGCCTGATATCAGGACCAACCGATTAATCGATAAGTAACTTGATTTAAAAAGATGTGTACATGAAAACGGCAAATAAAAACCGTTGATGGGACTCGAACCCACAGCCTTTGCCTGTGGTAGTTTCCAAATTAGGAAAGCAATGCACTACCTTTGTGCTACAACGGCCGCTAGTGGTTTGAAAAGAAAACATCTAAGGACGTATTTTGGCCGAGTTTCCAAAACGGGACGATATTGATGATGTGTGACACATGTGACAGGTTGTCACGTCCAGCCGGCGACGTGAAGGAACCAGCGCGTCGATGATAACTCTGTCATTCCAGCAACAAACGAGGCTAGGTCATTCACATAACTTGCTTGAAAGACTTAAAGAGCGCTGGTATGTAACTCCGCTAAAGGATCTGATGCAGCAAACCCATCAATACGGGAAGGAAGGAAGGAACGGGAAAAAGAGCAGAAAAGAGCCATGCGCAAATTCATCACTCAACGCAACTCTCAAAGTGACAAAAGAACGGCTAGACTTCGCCGCGTGGTCAACGTCCGACTGGTCGTGAGGTGCACTCCTTAAAGAGCGGGGAGCATAGCGACGGAACGCATTCATCTTCCCTTCTATAATGGCGAAACAGCATCTTCCTCTTCTTTTCTCTTTCTTCGCAAGTACCTACGCATACACCTGGCCCTCTCCTCAACTCGATGCCCTGGAAGGAGCTCGTTGGGAGCAACCTCTTCACTTTTTTCTTCGACCATGCAACGCTTTCGACTTTGACCCCAACGGGGCAGCCGCGGGTAGGGCTTCAGGACGCTCGAACGCCGCCGATTGGATTCGTACAGTGGGTGTATTCCTGGTCGAGTCCTGCATAAGTATTTGATGTAGAATGGACCTTGTAGGCATATCACGACATGGCAACATTCAACAAAATCGACCAAACAGGCGGACTGGATGGGTCGATTCGTTTTGCGGAGGAGCAGGCGCGAGCTGAGGTAATCTTCGAGTACGTTTATATCCCTCCTGTGATTGAAAGAGTCATTTTCAGAACATCGGCGATGGTTTCGCAAACACCTTGTCAAAAATTGTGCCCTTTTCAAACCGATACGTTTCCGGTTCGTGCTCGGTCTTCCTCCACTAATCCACATTCGTCGTTAACCTCCGCTGTGTGTTGTTCTCAGTCGCAGATATAATCGCTCTCGGAGCAGTCATCGCTTTCGAGACCTGGTACGTCTCGTTCTCCTTCATCCACGTCCGCCGCGTCCCCTCACCCTCAAACCTTCTCAAGCGGTGGTCCCGAAATTACATTTCGGGGCGGACGTGTGGATGCAACGGAACCAAACACTGCCGGTGTCCCTAAACCGGACCAGGAACTCGACTCGCATATCGCCTCGTTCGAGAAACAAGGCTTCACTAAGGAGGAGATGATCGGTCTCGTTGCTTGTGGGTATGTGTGCAGTCCGATCTCTCGTACATGATCACAGGCTCAACATCCCACTCATATTTCCAGCCATTCATTTGGCGGCGTACAGCACGCTTCCTTCCCCGACATTGTCCCTGAGCTGAATGATCCCGAAAACACTCGTCAGTTCTATTCTGAGGTTTCTTTCTCTCTCGGGGTGTCTGATTCACCTTTTTCTTTTTGCAGAGTCTAGTGCTCATTTCGACACGACACCGGTCAACTTCGACAACAAGATGTGTGTAGAGAAAATGGTTCTATTCCTGTATAACGTTGATCCTGATTTCCCCCAGTGCTACGGAATACATGTCCGGCACGACACTCAACCCATTAGTAGTTGGCCACAACGACACGACAAATTCCGACAAGCGAATCTTCGGCAGCGACGGAAACGTTACCATGCGCGGGTGAGTTCCTGACCCTTCACTAGGAATTCCACGCGTACCTAATATCATCGCACAGGTTTGCCGACTCCCTCGACGCCTTCGCATCCACTTGTGCGACCCTCATAGCGCGCATGATCGACACGGTCCCCGCCGGTGTCAAGCTTACGGAGGTTTTCACCCCGCTCCCCGTGAAGCCCACCAGCCTCGACCTGATTCTCGTCGGAGACAAAATCCAGTTCTCCGGACAAGTCAGGGTGCGGCTCCCATTTCCTCACACCTGTCTTGTCATTCACATACTCAATTCATGTGGTGAATTTCAGATCTGGAACGCCACCAGGAACACTTCTCCTCAGGTCCGACTACTTTGGGCCGACCATACCGGCAGCAAGACCAACAACGCGACCCTCCCATTCAACAACGCGGGCGACTCGAGCAACGAACGCAACTCATGGGTGGTCTTCAAGTTTGGCACGAACTCCCCTTTCCAGTTCATCACACTCGATGCCGTTGCGGGGATCACCAACATGCGCTTTGCAGTTAACGACAAAATCGAGGACCAAGGCGGCCTTGGGTTTCCGGTGCTCGACGACATCTTCTTTTCTTCCACATCGTGTTACACGGGTGACCATGAAAACCCTTCCGGTGGGAGATTTGATATCGCGGTGAGTACTATACAACTTCGTTCACTTCGGAAACGGATTCCTGACCCTAGAATCCAAGGTACGCAACGGTGCGAATCCAACCCGTGTCTACTTGGAGAAAGAAATACGTGACGCCACTGGTCGGACAACCATCCAAGAAATTGACGTTTCTCCTCCGACGACCTCCAGCCCCTCTGGTTCTCCAGCCTTCAGTATCTGGAGCTACAACCCTGGGAACGATCCCTCAGATCTCTCAGCAGTCTTCACTATTGGTGCGGAAGTCAACGGCGTGAAGGCCACTCGGTCTAGTGTACAGCGTGCAGTTACTCAGTTCACGGCATGCGCATGATTCGACGCAGAATGGAGTTTGTGATAATACTAGTCAGTTGGTCGTTGGTTGGTTTAAATTATGATAGTACTAGTCAGTTGGTCGTTCGTTTGTTGGTTTTAGTCATGACACACAGTCTTTTCTGCATATTCCCGTTCCCAGAGTTAGTGAATATCCTCGTCATCAAGGTTCGTTTGTCAATGATACATGATTTCCTCAGTCGATTGACTGATTTATTCGTCCTCTGAGATCTTTACAACCACCTTTCCCTTCGCATGTTTCGTCATGAGCTTTTCGAACGCCTGCTTGACATCGTCAAACGAAAACACCGAGTCAATGACAGGCTTGACTGCCCCTATCAACGAATGAGTGCGGATGAATGCTAGAAGATTGAAAGGATCACCTTTCTCAGCCAAATCGCGGACGATTTCGATGTGCGCTTTATCAAAATTGAGGGACGGTGTACTAAGAACGAGTCCTCGTTAGCTACTGAATGTAGGATATGAATGCTTGACATACGTATATTTCCGGCCAACGCCACCCAACCACCGAGGGCGTAGAAAACCCTCGAATAGTTGTCTGAGTAGCTCCGTCCACTCCTTACGAGAGTGAGGCATTGTGCCACCCCAGAGGTAGGCGCTTCCAGGAGCGAGATAGGCTTCACAATTCAGATAGAGAGCAGGATCAGTGAGCCCGGCTGCATCGAAAAGGCCGTGGTATTTGGGGGACGGCGATTTGGCAAGCAACTGCTCTACCAACGGCGCCTCGGTGTAGTCTAGGAACTGCGCAGGTATGTAGGATGCTCTCCGTCTTTTGTGTACAGACTCACCTCATCCACACCAAGCCCAAGCAGGAAGTCCTTGTTTTTGGCACTTGCAGTAGCGACAACTTTGCAGCCCATGGACTTGCAAATTTGTATAGCAGCTATTCCAACACTGCAACTGCCGCCGTTCACGAATACAGTTTGGCCAGGCTCGATGTGAAGATTATTGGCCAGGGATTGTTGGGCCGTCAGCGTCACGATCGAAAGGCCAGCAGCCTCGACCGCAGATAGGTTGGGTGGTCGAATAGCGAGCCTGGAGGCCGGGATAACGGCGTATTGAGCTAGGGTACCACCGCTCGGGAAAGCGTTCGTGCCGAAAACCTTGTCCCCAACGTTAAATTCTGTTCCATTCGAATCGACGATCACGCCAGACAGCTCCATCCCAATAACGCACGGTCTTCGTGCGATGAAGCTGGGCAGAGTCCGCATTAACTTGTAATCGCTTGAGGTGCTTTCGTGAGCAAAGAAGCACTTATATGCTTTGTAGACAACCTTACGCAGGATTGAGCGCAACTGCGTGAACCTTGACCAGAACATGGCCTTTAGGGAGCTTCTTTGGGGTCTGGAGATCCGTTTTCAGCTGGAGAACTTGTGCAGGGTCGCCTTGTTTGACGGCCATCCAGGCGCTGAAAGTTGAGGTGGTCATGATGGATGGTTGCAAAGAATGAACGACACGTCAGCTAGCCCTTCGCTGGATGGGTGGAAGACGAGCAGTTGATGCGAGTTGCGTGTACATGGGAGACCTAGTTCGAGATCTCGAGACGCGCAGGCTGCTCTGGATTGCGTAACGATAAGATAAGATAACCGAGGATCTCAGAAAATATTGATGTGTGTATAATTTGTTCAAGGTAAGTAAGTACAGGATTTCAACACATAGTTAGAGTAGATGTAGCATGCACAGTAACAACAGAACAAAGCCCACGGCTCGAGAGTCAGGACCCGCAAGTTGGGTCGTCCCATCAACTAGTGGTGCCGATTGACCGATAGTATTATTGAGACATCCAAGCAAACCATCATCGATGCCTGCGGGCAATGGTGTGTCGGCGGCAGAGCTCTCGGGGGCAAAGGCAGCCGAATTGTTGTACCCATCCAGCGTCAACGCCAAGGAACTGGCACGGTAATATTGTACAACTTGCTCCGGCGCGGCCTCACTCGCGTTGAACGCTGTGGGTGTCGTGCCGTTGGAAGTCAGATTCTGCGAACAACCCGAGGTAATGACTGGGATGAGGTCAGTGACAGTTTGATTGTCTGCGACGAGGCGGAAGGTCGTCGCATTGGATTTGGATTGAAAGGCGGCCATGACGATGGGGCCGCCTGGGCGAGAGCTGTTATTGGGATCTCCGTACTGCATGCAGATTAACTACTCGAGGTAGGATAAGACTGGAAAGCGGCTGACCTCGTTTGTGTACAAATAAGCAGCGTTGGCTCCGTGACCTGGATCAGACCCCCATGAAAGAGGCCAGAACCAGAAAGGAAATCCACGGCCATTGACGCCACGGGTGTTGTATCCAGTGTAGCCGCTCCCAAACGTTCTACACAAAAATT